ATATGCACTCGTAAAATTGCAACTCCCATCGTGTAGTTATAAATCGTGAACGGCTTCGTCTTAGTGTTAATTTACTTTCAAATGAGAAAGTCATGTAAAACCGCTGCAATCGCTCACAAATTTAGAATTAGGACAAAGACCAGATCCACTCCACTAGTGCCCATCCGTAAAACAAAGGCTGAAATCACCACCTTTCAGTCACTAGCACCTTAAAGATATTCACCCCCTAGTACTATAAACGGAGGAGATATCACCATCAACAGCAATAACAAAAAGCCGCAACAGCACAGATCTCATGAGCTTCTATTAGTTTTACCTGTATGTTTGTAACTCTCCACGTGTTATCTAGCGTATCCCGTCGTCTAAGGCCTTGAGACTATACTGTCGTAACGTATTCACCCCACCCCGTCACCACTAGCCATCAAACACTATTTTCTTGTATGATTTTATTTTTGGTTTTCGTACGCGTATACGCGTCTGTGTCATCACTTATATATATATAACGATGCCCCGCGACTCGTACCACCTTTATCAGCCGTCGCCCTACTATGAGTATTTGACTGACCAACACTTTGCGTTATACGCCGCGGTGCAAAGTCCAGCAAGTGCCGCACGGCCGACGACGTCCTGCCACAAATGATATCGTAGTTTTCTTCCCGTTGTCAAAGTGACAACATCGACGAACCGATCCGCACTCGCTCACCGTCGCCATCAACGCTTCTAACCTTTTGACGCCTGAGGATCACGCCGTACATCGCGTCGTCGACGCCAGCGAAAGTGCCGCGATATTATGAGAAGATTATATATTCCTACCGCCGCCGCTAATATATACGTATATGTTAATATTCATTTATATATTCCTACAGCCGACGCCGCTGCCGCCGTATATGCCTCGTGTATAACGTTCCCCCAGCTACGCCCACCCACAAAACACGGCTATACCTCGTGCAAGATACGTTTACGTACTTAAGTCGCTTTACATGTATATATTATATATATATTCTAATTACTATTGAAACTTATATATTAATACGCTTTATTCTCATTAAGAGATATATAGTGTATTCATTCCGATTACGGGGGGTAAATCCCGTATCGTCATTTTTCGCCACTACTTCCACGTTGCGCGTCTGCTGCTTTCCTTGGATGTGGTAGCCGTTTCTCAGACTCCCTCCCCGTAATCGAACCCTGATTTCTGGTACCCGTTACAACCATGATATTGATAGTAACTACTATCATAGCATGAAACTAAAAAGTGAAAAATAAATATAATAAAAAAAAACTAAAAAACACGCTTTTAAAGCACATCAAACTAAAAAGTTCAAAATAATTTTTAGTTTGATGTGCTTTAAAAGCGTGTTTTTTAGTTTTTTTTAATTATATTTATTATTTTAAGTGACATTAGAGGTGGGTCGAAAACATTAGTATTTTAATATTCTGTTTCAAAAAAAGTTCATACGCCTCATTGAAATGTCAATAGTCAAACTAAATTTTAAAAAAAACCCAGCACAGGGGGGTCACGGCACAGTGGTAACGTGGCATAGTTGGATCAAGTATAATGATACCTGACAGTGATTAAAATCACTATAAAAAAAAAACGCTTCGATGCAAATCTTTAGATAGTGTTTAATAATAAAAAATTGGTGTATTATTCCAAAAGCTACATGATCTGCAAGTTCCTTATTAATATCTTGATTAAGATAAAGTATGTCGAATGAAAAAGGTATTATTAAAAAATATTATTTCTCATAAAAAAATTGTATTGATCCATATATTTTTCAAAAAGTTATAGCATAATAAAGTAAAAAATAAAATCGATAATTTTCACACAATAATAGAATTCGGTAACTATTTTCACCGTGAAGACAAAATAAAGTCCGAAATTTTTTTTTGCATAATAAAGTATATTACATTAGCTTTAATTTAAGATATATATAAAAGTGTCAGACTTTCCGGAACATTTTCAAACGTCAAGTTGAAAAAATTAATTTTTTGTGAAAAAGTGGTCATTTTAAATCCCCCCTTGCGGGTAGGTAAAGGGTCAGATATACAAATAAAATATATCAAATGAAAAGTAATGATATCATGCATCTATATAAAAAAAAATTATATTGATATGTTCTTTTTTAAAAAAGTTATGGCATTTTTAAGTAAAAAAAATTGAAAAAATTTCGAAAATTAACGATTTTTAAATTTGTAATTTTTTTGGAGGTTTCCCCCATTTACGGGGAACGAAGGAATTTTTTTCAAGTTTTGAGGGTAATGTCTTCGACTAGATACGATTTGTATGATATGATTGACATATCATTGAATGAAATCGGTTCGGTGGGAGCTGAGAAAAAGTGGTAACAGACACAAAAAAAAAAAAATAAAAAAAAAAACATCTTAGTAAAACCAATACCTTCTCAGCTTCGCATCGAAGCTAAAAATTAATTTATACACAATACGGGCATTAGTCACAAAACAACAATTTATGACAGATTAGTTTAACAATTGAAGTTGAATGATAATAGTTTATTCAACAATATTTATGAAAATTATTAGTAAAGGAATAACTAAAATTCAATAAAAAATGATTTTATAAGAGAAATCTCATTGTCTATTCTTTAGATAAATCCTAAGGTATTAAGAACCTAAAAACATATTTCGTCGTTATGAGTGTGAAAATTTCTAAAAACGAGATAGATGGATACCAAGATTAATCAAGGAAACGGATTAAACAGGTTGATTATGGATTATCAAGAGATTTCCTGAATAGTTGCTTATACGTATTGATAAATTTTATATAAATTAGAAGTGAGGAATGTCCACTACTCGCGAGTGCAATCACCGGCCACATATCATAAACAATTATATTGTTTCTTAATAAAGACTTATTATCTGTTAACTATTTGATGTTGTCTTTCATATTAAAAACACAACAGTTACCATAAGGGAAAAGATAAGCAAAATCTTAAATTTAATCAAAAATGACCAGATATACCATCTGGACCAATAGGTTTATTAATAAAATCTCAGAAAGAAACATGTTTTTTAAAAAAAAAAAAAAAAATACGCATTTATATTGATGTAAACAGCTTAAATGAATGGGACATCAGTCAAATTTAACATGTGATGACTTTAAATGGATCGATAAAAATGACGAAAATATTTTATAGACAGGGAAATAGTTATCGTCGTACTCTACTGACTGGTTATTGAAGTAACAGTGTCATAACTGAAAGAACTATATAGTACACGCAATAAAATGCCGTTTTTACCAGAAAAAGAATGTCCACATAAATCACGTGTCTAAAAACTACTGTATACTATTGACTGTAAAAAAAACTATGCTATACACTACTTTAACTTAAAGCAGTGGTGAATATTTTAAAAGTAGATAAAAGGTAATTTATAAAATTCTATTTTGAATTAAAATGAATAATTATAATAATAATAATATGATTGCGTTACGGGTACATTTAGCATTTTAATTTAGGCAATCGGCATACTTGGGAAATTACATTTAATTGACAACGACAATGAGACAGAAAGCCACAAATGACTTTGAGTAAGAATTTTTCAAATTAATGAATGATTTCATTTCGGTATGTTTTTAAAATTAAATAAATCATAATTTTAATATGCGTACGGTTATCAACAGATAAAATTTTGGAACGTATTTATAATATATGTACTCTTTTTGTTTATTTATAATAGATAAAAACGGTCGTCTACTACCAAAATTATTTTTTTGTTTGATCTCCCTCCATTCAATAGCTGTTTTATTATATTTATTTTTAATTTTCCGTTATTGTTTCTATGTACTCTAGTGATAAGAAAGAATTTTTTTTGGTTAACATGTCTTCCAAAAAAATTAAATCGACGTTGGGTATCTTTATAAATACCGATTCATGTAATACTTTTGTACATAGTACTTGTTTTAAACTAACGACCTTAATGTTACCCATATATTCATGATAACCATTCTATAGTCTTCGTCGTTAATATTGATTACACCGTAGACTGCATCAAGTTTGATTGTTGTTGTTGTAACGGTAAAGATTTAAAATATCTATATAATATATAGAGTGTTCAGTAAGTAAAGAAATGTGTTTCTATTGTTCTCATTGTTTGTAACAACAGATCTGTTTCCGTACTTACTAAATACCTTGTGTATTATCTATATCAGAATAGCTTCATTGATAAATACTTACCACACTATCCTAGAGTTGTTTAACTAATAAGTGAGGTTCCAATTTTTTTTATGTTAGAAAAATGCTTAAGTAAGCATCTGGAATCGATGATAAAATTCTTAGAATTGATGGCTGTACCCTTGATGTTATAATATATAGCCAGCGTTACTAATAGTACTTATTAATTATTAGATAAGTTTAAATAATAAAATACTACATATAAATAAGAAACATAGGCTTGAAATACCACCGGAGGTGTCATTTTTCTCATAAAATGTAGACGACAACAGCGTCGAAACAAACAATAAATCTTTATAATGTGATACCTTTAATATAATCTAATATATCTTTGATGCTACTACTTTAGTACTATCACATTATAAGTACCTTTGTTGTTGGAAATATAGTATGAAATTGATGACTTGTGGCGAATTAATAAAATAAAATAAAAATTATATTGAAAATATTATTAATTTAAAAACTAAAAATAATATTAAAAATATTAAACTCGAAAGCCACAAAAAATTACTGAAAAGTTGCGGATACGTATTTTGGAAACAATGTTACCATTATTAACGCTAAACATATACTGACAACTCGACTAGATTAATCTCCCTTATATACCCCTAGTGACCTTATCATGTAGTAACGTCATCACTAAGTAATATTATCACATTTTGCCAGTTTACACAAGTTTAATAATGAATGTTTTAGTATGAAGTTGATATTTAATAATTTAAATTTTGATAATTTTACTAAGAAATTGTAAAAAATTATAAATTATTTTTGTTACTTTTATAGTAAACGTGTATTAAAATTAAAGGATTTAATGGGTATATAATTTGAATTTATATGTAAATTAAAACAATTATAAAATAATACATTTTAAAAATTTAAAAAATTTTTAAAACAAGAACCAATAATAGTTCTAAATGTTATTAACTACGCGAAATTTTTATAATTTATTGAAATATTCTTAATTTTATTTTGTAGCCAGTGGTATATAATAATTATTTAAAACCAATTAATTGATACCTTGTCCTTTCAATCTACTGAGTGCAAAGTTGATAAACAATTTATTTAATAAATCTGTCTTAGCTAGTAATAATTTTTCTAAAACCTAGATCTTCATAACAATTTTTGTAAACATTCTCACAAAAATTGTTAAAATAATTACAAGCGTTGAGATATATTTGGGATGATTCTGAAGAATTTTGATTAGTAGCTGTTGGAATTATGAAATAATTTATTGTTTTGGATCTATCAAAATAAGGTTTTTTCATAACACATCGGTCATTCATACGACTCATTTCGGATCTTAATTCTTTATAGAAGTTATCACGAAACTCTGATAGAATGTTTCGTAGTTTTTTTAACTTTTCTGTATTTTTTCCTTCATTTTTTATGATATTATTACCTAGTTCACACCTTGAAAATTCATTGTTCTTCAATAAATTAAGAAAATCTGTATTCCATTTCAATATTTTCTGCAAACTAGAATGAGAGTGATTACTTAAACTCCATATTGATGAACTATTTAAAGTATTTATAGCCATATTCAATCCATCAAACATTCTTTTTGATTTATTGAGTGAGTCAAATAATTCAATCAAACAATTTTGATAGAGTGGTGGTACACTTTTGTTGCATATATGTACTAGGGTAGATAATAATATTTCGTAATTTTTCATTATTTCTGTATACCTGCATCTTAATAATTGTATTACATGTTCTTTTTTCACTCGAAAATTAATGTTATTAATTTCGTCTTTCATAATAAAATCTACACTGAATTGTTTACCATTATAAATTATTAATATGTGATTCATTGTTTTCCAACCAGATTCCTGACGAAGAATATTGAGAGCTTTAATTCCATCATTTTGATTTATATGTAGATCTATTGGAGGTATGAATCTATATAAACAAACAAATAATATGATGATTACGTAAATACATAAATAAATAAATTTTAAATATTCAATTGGAAAATTGTTAAAAAATTGAGGAATAGAAAAAATGAAATTCAGGAATAGGAGTTATTGAGTTGATAAATAAAAAAATAAAGAAAGAAAAATTTTAAAATACATTATAAAATTCGAATTTGCAATATTCATATTAAAATTTGTTTGTTTGTTTTTAGTAAAGTAATATAACTGGGAAATTTGGTTTATTTGAGTTTATTCGGATGGTATGCGATTCTAAAAATGTAGCTGAGACGTTTCAACATTTCATACACGGTATGATAAAATATTTTGATTTTTGTGAAGTTTATTTAGACAATTTCTTGATTACATCGTCTTCAACACAAGATTATTGGAGCCACCTCGAACGTGTATTCCAACGAATGAGTGAGTATGACATTATAACCAATACGCATTTATTTTAGGATGCAACATTTCGAGTAATGGTCTTAAACCAAATCCTAAATACTGGAAGCGATAGATAAGTATCCGATGCAGAATAATGTACAAGAGCTTTGACGTTTTTTGGCTGTGTGCAATTTTTTCTGTCGTTGTATTCCAAACGCAGCAAGTACGCAAGCTATCTTTCACAGTTATCTTAAAAACAGTAAAAAAATAACAAAACATCAATTGTATAGACCAATCAATCAATGGGAGTATTCCAAAAAACAAAAGAAGACTTAAAACGAGCCACAATATTATCATATCTAGACCTGACCACGAATATTCGATTACAATGAGACGCATCAGATATGGCAACTGGCGCAGTAGTAGAACAACAAATTTTGAGGTTTAAAGGAATACGTATATCAGCATATCATCTACCAGCCAATGGTTTAGTCGAATGATTCGAACGATCACTTAGAACGGCAATTAAATGTTACGAGACTGAACACCGAATAGATGTACTCTTATGGGTCTTATATCAGAAGTTAAAGAAGAGCTAGGATTAAAACCTGCAGAAATTGTATTTGGAAGTACTATCAGATTACCCAATGAGTCTTTTTTTACAGGTTTCAATTGAAACAACCCTTGTTCCTTTGCTGAAACATTAAAAAAAAAAACAATGATAACTATCCGCTCAGTGCCAACTTCAAATCACGGAAGTAAAAAAAATGTTTGAGAATAAAGAACTAGCATCCTGTTCACACGTTTTCGTTCATGTCGACTGAGTCAAGAAACCGCTAGAATAACCACATTATGGGTTGAACAAAATTATTCAATGGTACGACAAATTTTTAAATTATTAATTAAGCAAATATACTGTATTTATGTTAACATTTATGTTAAACTTAAAATTGTTATTTTCACTTGAAAGGGCTTAATGTGAGGATTAAGTAAAATATAAGTTAAATATGTGTCGATGATATTTGTCCATGTAACTTATTTTTATGTATTGTAAACTATAAGATAATATGTCACCGTGAGTATATTTGTATATAAGTGTACACCGTAGTACAGTACTGTATTGTTTTATATTTTTATTCTAGTATTGCGTTGTCCATCAAAACGATTATAAAATATATTATCTGAATGATATATATATATACACAGAGTGATTTTTTTTTATCATAAACCACTCATTTACTTACAGAATAAATATATTTAAACATTTTTTTATTTTGGTTATCTTTAGTTACACATTATTCTTGAATTATTAACTATGTAATACTTTTTAAGTTCATCCCTTATGCCTTATAAGGTGTTAACTTTGTTTTTTTAAATGGAAACACATATTTTTAATTTAATAAAATTTTTGAGTTTTTAATTTAATAATACATGGCATTTGAATTTTTAATATAACTTTATTCGTTTATTAGATATAAACATTTAAAGTTTCAAATTTTTGTGTTAATATATATGTATAATACACAAGGTATTACAAATACAGGTAGCTAATTGGTTTTTTATGATATCAATATTCGCAGGTACACAGCATTGTTATTATCAATGGTAGCAAGGCACATTGTTGTGAGTTCATAAGTACACTAACTGACTATATAAAAAGTAACTATTGATAGTCATAATTGACAATAAACAATCCGTGATTGTGACAGCGATGTCATAAAATCCATTTAGCTACCTGTATTTGGAATCCCTTGTGTATTATACATGTATATTATCTCAAAAATTTGAAATTTGAAATGTTTATATCTAATAAACGAATAAAGTTATATTAAAAATTGAAATGCCATTTACTATTAAATTAAAAACTCAAACATTATATTAAATTAAAAGTATGGGTTTCCATTTAAAAAACCCAGCACAACAAAAGTAAAGACATAATGCATCTATAAAAAAAAACCAGCACAAAGGGGTCGTGGTACAATGGTGACGTATCATAGTTGTATCAAGTAAAATGATATCTGACAGTGATTAAAATCACTATCATAAAAAATGCTTCGATGCAAATATGTAGATAGTGTTCAATTTAAAAAAATTAATGGATTATTACAAAAGCTACAGGATCTCCCATTTCAATATTTATATTCTGATTACAAGTTGTATGATTTAGAAGTGTAATATATGAATAAATAAATATATATAATAATATATAAATATAAATAGTACTTATCTCAAAAAATATATAATGATCCATACATTTTTCAAAAAGTTATAGCATTATAAAGTTAAGAATATAAAAAAGAATTTTTTTTATTAACTTTGATGTCTGTTTTCAGCATAAAAACAAAATTAAGTCCGAAATTTTTTTTTTTTTTTATAATAAAGTACATTAAATTAACTTTAATTTAAAGTATATATAAAAATGTCAGTATTTTCGGGACACTTTAAAATGTTAAGTTGAAAAAGTTATGACAGTTTTAAGTAAAAAAAATTTCGAAAATACGCGATTTTTAAATTTGTAATTTTTTGGAGATTTCCCCCATTTACGGGTACGAGGGAAATTTTTTCAATTTTATAAATAAAGCATACTTTCACTGTCTATAATGCTTTCGATTATATGTGCATTCCTACACACTTATAGTAAGTTAGTAATTTTTAATGAACTAAAAAAATAAATAATAATATATGATTTTAAATGTAAATAGTAATATTAATATACATTGTAACTAATGGCTACAGTTGTAAATAAATAATAATAAAAAAAAATAATAATAATTCTATTTTCAAAACACATGTAGTAAAGTTATTTATTTCAATTATAAGATTAGAAGTTAAATTATGTTAAAAAATTCTTACTTAGGTATTTTGGGATTAAGAAATTCTTCAAAGCCAAGGTTTTTGTACCAAATTTCTATGGTTTCGTTATAAAACGCATTAAGATTACTACATGTTAAATTAACTAAGTATAAGTCGTTATCATTAGAGGATTCCTTAATTGGATTTGTTGTCGAATTAGTATTTACGAAAGGGTCGATGATAATACTGTATAGAAACATATTGTTTACTTTTTCTGATGCTTCTATGTAAAATTCATTTAAATTTTTTAAATTTGTTTCAGAGTCTATAAGATTTTGTAAGCTGTTGAAATCAAAAGATATAGTCTCTGGTATTTTTTGTAAGACAAATTGTTTAAAAAAATCAATTTCATCAATTATAACATTTGCCACAATAGTTCCTTTAAACACATATCTTACATCCATGATGTTTATATATTTCATAGCGTTGTAGAGGTTTTCAAACATAGTTTTGGAATTTTTTACTTCTTCAATAAGTGATGTTACACAAAAAATTAAATTTTCCCATAAATAACTATATTGAAATTGCTTACATTTACGAAGAATAATGTCTACGTAATTGAGGAAGGTTTTTAGTATTCTTGTGTACTTGAAATTGAGTAAACTTATTGTAATATTATAGTTATACATGGAATCATTCATATAATTATCGGGTTTGAAAGCTTCTTCTATATTAATATGATTATTAAAATCATGTTTCAATTTTAAATTTTGCATTTCATTTGACCGAATGTGTGAACGAATGTGATGTACCACTGTATTGACATAATTTCTATAATCCTTACGATAATTTAAGCTTTGTTTTGTCTCAGCTGATTTCATAGAAAAAATGACAATAGAGATTAAAATTAATTTATATGACTCCATTAAAAATAAAATAGTTATATCAAAATTAATTTGTTTGATACGTTAAGATATTTAAAATGAACATAAGCGAATATGTTCAATATAATTTTATATCATTTATTTTATAGACAAAAATGGCACAGAAAAAATATAACTATTTTTTAATGACAGTAAAAATACATATTTAATAAAATAAAGTAAAATTTTAACAAATAGATATTGGATTCTAACATATTTATTAACATAGTTATGTTCTATTTATAAAATTTATGTTCAATAGTAAAAATGGTTCAAACTGAAATGAAGTTCTACTACTTTAAAACAATTATGAATTTTTTGTTAATATTATTATTGCTTTGTGTATAAATTTACGAATTTCACTTAAGTATATTAGAATATAATTTTTCTACTTCAAAGATTGCAATAATTTTAGTGAATATATTCTTAAATAAAAAAAAAATTATACTTTTATTTTAGTAATATACAGGGTGGCCCACCACTCACTAACAATTTAAATAACTTTTGATCCAGTTAATATTTTTAGCTGATTTTTTTTTTAAACATTAGTTAGACGTTAGGTCTATAGCTATATCTCAATAATTAATTTTTTTACATTTTATTAAAAATATTAATTATTTTTAAATTTTAAATAAAATGTAAAAAAAAAATCTAAGATAGCTATTTTGTAGAGTAGAATTTAAGAAAAATTTTAGTAAAAAAATATCTTATTAATATTCAGTAGTAAATATTCTGTAGCGTTTTGAAGTTTGTGAAAATTTGAATTTTCATGTACTATTTTACGGTATTAAACATTGAAATACGTATTGAGAAAAGGACAGAAGAAAACGCTATCTTTTCATGATTACTGTGTATACATATGATGATAGTGTGTATACATTACAAACTTGGCATAAATACCATGATAAGAAATTAGATAAGGCAATTATTACTTATCACTCTCATTCAAAAGTATATTGAAAAGATAGCGTTTTCTTCTGTCCTTTTCTCAATACGTATTTCAATGTTTAATACCGTAAAATAGTACATGAAAATTCAAATTTTCACAAACTTCAAAACGCTACAGAATATTTACTACTGAATATTAATAAGATATTTTTTTACTAAAATTTTTCTTAAATTCTACTCTACAAAATAGCTATCTTAGATTTTTTTTTTACATTTTATTTAAAATTTAAAAATAATTAATATTTTTAATAAAATGTAAAAAAATTAATTATTGAGATATAGCTATAGACCTAACGTATAACTATTATTTAAAAAAAAAATTAACTAAAAATATTAACTGGATCAAAAGTTATTTAAGTTGTCAGTGAGTGGTGGGCCAACCTGTATGTAAAATATATACAGTGTATCAGACATTTAGTGATGAGAATTCAAAATTAAATAAAAAAAAAAAATTGCAAACATTAATCATAGTAAAGTTATTAATAATAAAAAATATCAGATACATTAATGGTTTTACTTCGAATATAATAAAACTAAAAAACAAATATTTATAAAAAATACATATTTGTTATGCATTTAATCAACATTTGAAATTTATTATTTTTTAAACATTTTTACTTGTGTCATATTTTAATTAAAAAAAAAAAAAAAATTATAAATGACAAAAAACTTAGGACATTTTAAGTAGTTTAGAATACAAAAGACATTTTTTTTTAAGTTGTGCGACTTTCACATAAAAATTGTACTTAAATTCAATTAAATAAACGTTGTTTAAATTTACGTTATTTTTAGTAAAATTACAAAAAACTAATATTTTTAGAAAAAAGAAAAAAATATATGCATCTAAAATTTATTAAACGCCAAAGTTGTACATGAAATCTACTTTGTGTTTATAGTATAAGTTTTGCATTTTATTTAAGCAGTTTTAAAATATCGATGAAATGCGTACTTTTTAGTGCAGTAATTCAAAATATAATAAAAAGAAAGACAAGAGGATAATCCAATGGTTTTAATGTTGATTGTAATATAAAGATGTAAATTAATATTCTTATGTGAAAAGGGCTAGACGTGGTAGAGCATAAGTGACTTACTACATATAATTAGTTATTATATTCTATGGGGGTCATACTTGGAAGGTTCAAAAATAATAATGTTATTAAAATAATTTAAAATATGAAATTATTCTGTTGATGTGCCAAATTGTAAGAATATGGTTTTATGTATATCAAGCAACCTAGTTACAAAAGCGTTAGCAAAGTCTTGCTCGAGGGACTTTATCTTAATGAGGCTCCAACAATAGCACGAACACCTTGCTTCAAGTACCTTTAGCAACGCCGGTTACAGCGTGGTAGTCTCGCTTTAAGAATTTTTTGTTCGCAGTGACGCCTTCAGCAGCACGAACACTTTGCTTCTAAGACTTTTAAAATGTGTGTACACCGTATATTCTTATAACATGATAAAATTTACTTATTGTTATATTAATGATTTTGACTACTCATAAAACCTTATTATTTAAAAACGGTCAATATTCTTTTGGCAATTAAAATTTATTATAAGGGTTAATAAAATTGACTCACCTTTCGTTATCCTTATTTAAGCTCATAAAATAAAATTGTATTCAAGTAGAAATATTTTGAACGCCGAAATATGATTTGTAAGTGTCAAAAAAAGTACGACAATCAAGATTTTTAGAAAAATGCTACACTTAATATACTTCAGAATTAAATTATCTGTTAAACACCAAATTTGTGCATCAAATCTAATTTTTATAAAAGTTTTGTTTTACTATCATTAATTTAATTTTGTAAATATTATTAACGCAAAGAAAACAGGAAGTGGCCAATTCCAAGTAGTTGGGATTAAGGCGAGGAAAACGAAAAAGAAATATTATTAACAATCAATAGCGCCGGAACCAGGGAGTCAGGGGTGCAGTTGCACCCTTGGTCAAAATATGAGATGGCAAAAGTACCATTATACCCCCCCTCCACCCATTAGAATCTGACAAATAAAAAAATTACAATGAATCTGGAAATTAATATAACACTACATTATTTAATTATTTAGCTTTTAAGATTTTGAGGATTTAAAGTTAAATGAATTTACATAACTCCAGTTGAATATTAAAAAAGGTAGCATAGTGGAGTTGTGGCATAGTTGGCACAAGTATAGATGATATTTGATAGTCATCAAAATTATTATCATAAAAATCGCTTCGATATGCTAATCTGTAGATAGTATTTAATTTTACTAAATTGATGGATTATTCCAAAAGCAAAATGAACTCCTATTTCTTTCATTATTTCTGATTAGTAGTTTTTTGATTAAGAAATATAATGTATGAATAAATATTTACTATAGCAATTAAATTAGTATGATATTTAATAATTTAGTTTAGTAATTTTTTGGAAGAATTCATAAAAAATGATAAAGTAGTTATTATTTTTATGGCAAACGTATATACAAATTGAAGGACTTGATACAAAAATATTCAGAAAATAATTTGTGGTTAATTATGAATAAATGATCTATAAATAATTTCATTAGAGTCAAAAATATACTTTTATAATTCAATTTTTCGAATTGAATGTTATTTTCCACCTAAAAAAAAAAAATTAAGAAAAAAATGCAAAGTTAAAAAGTTACTTTGGCTGGCGATGTTTGAACTTTGTACCACGAACTTATAAGACTGTATAGTATACTGTATAACGCAATCCCTTTGATCATGATGAATAATTAAAAAAAAAAAATTATTTAAGCTAGTTCAAAAATTCAAAGACGCTTTTCTTAACTTTGGGGAAGTAAAATAATCAATAAAAGTTTAAATTTATATTTAATCTAAGTAAGAATCATGTAAATTTTATAAAAATTGATGGACTCATTACTATGATAAACACTTGTATAAGTATTTTAAAATTAATAAAAAAAAAATTGATTACATTAAATAGCATGTTTTTTAACTACGCCAGCCATTTGCAAGTAGAAGATAAATACATAACATAAGTAAATAACAAAAGCTTTAATTTGACATATGTTTAAAGGACACAGTATTTCCGGAACATTTTCAAAAGCGAAATTGAAAAAGTTCTACTTTTTATACATGTGTATCAAATTTTCAACGCCCCGTTTATATAGAGAAATTTTCTAATTTAAGTTAAAAGTATGAAAAAGGAATATATAATGTATTAAGAAAAAAAAATTTGTGTTGATTCATACATTATTCAAAAAGTTATAGCAATTTAAAGTTGAAAATATAAAATCGATATTTTTAACACAAAAATAGCATTATTATATCTACGACAGCCGTCTGCACGTAGAAGATAAGTCGCGGGGATAAATTTTATTTTAAATTATAGTACGTTTTATAAGCTTTAATTTGACAAATGTTTAAAGGACGCAGTATTGCCAGAACACTTTCAAAAGTTGAATAATGTAATAAAGTTGCTACTTTGAATCCCCTCTTATGGGCAGGTAAGGGATTAAATTTTCAAAATATTATATAAAATAAAAGGGAAATACCAAAGGTTTCTATATAAAACAAATTATTTTGTTTTGTTCATTTTTCAATAAGTTAAAATCGAGAATTTTCACACAAAAATAGCTTTTGGTAGCCATTTTCACCGTGAAGACAAAATAATTTCCGAAATTTTATTTTTTCATGATATATTATATTACATTAGCTTTAATTTGAGATATATATAATAGTGTCAGACTTTCCTGAACACTTTCAAAAGTCCAAAAGTTGTCATTTTGAATCCCCCCCTGTGGGCTGGTAAAGGGTTAAATTTATAAAAAAAATATACCAAATGATAGGTAATCAATCGGGTAATCAAATAGGTAATAAAAAAAAATTATATTGATTTGTTCATTTTTGAAAAAGTTATGGCAGTTTAAAGTAAAAAAAATTAAAAACATTTCGAAAATTAGCGATTTTTTAATTTGTAATTTTTTTGGAGATTTCCTCTATTTACGGGGAACGAGGGGAATTTTTTCAATTTTTGAGGATAATGCCTTCGACTAGATACAATTTGTGATCTTTTCTCATATCGTTGAAAGAAATCGGTTCGGTGAGAGCTGAGAAAAAGTGGTAACAGACACAAAAAAAA